TTGGACGTTTATTACGAGGGTACAAGTACCTGCAGTTTTCAATGTTGAACGCCAACAAGCATAGCTTGGTTTTTTTGAGGGATAATTTGTAGGTTTCGGGCATACCTTATATTCCAAAAAAAATACAAATTCATATCCATGTCAAATTGGTTCTACTAAGCTAATATAAAGTAACAATGTAGACTATACAAAGTTAACAAAAGTGCTGACAAGAGCCCACATGATGAAAGCTCATTGTCTCTCTTTCAATGAAACTTTACAATCTCATTAAAAAAAAAGATAAAAAAACTTAAAAAGCCCACATGATAAAAGCATTATGTATATATTAATTTTCTCTGTTACATTTTCTGATACTTCATACTCTCATCAAGAAAAATAGTTGATATTTCATAAACTCATCAAGGAAAATAGAGCAAACCCTATATCAGTTTTGAGATCCAAGCAAATATTCATATGCAGTATAGAACATACATCCCAAATCAAAAGGACTTCTAGTTGATCCTTTTTGAGATCCAAGCAAATATATCTACCTCTTTCTAAAGACCAAAAGTTCTAAAAGCCAAAATTCAATCATCACACAGAATATTTCTGAAGAAATGAGATCTTAGCAGCTGCACTTCTTTGCATCTCTCTTCTCTAAAATTATCTCACACAAAAATCTAAAATGAGGTTTCTTAAAAAAAAACTAGATTCAAAAAGTCAAAAGGGTGACTTCCCCTTGTTAAATACTCATCGTCCAAAATACTGGACAATGAGAAGGGCTAAAGCTCTAGTTATTTTCACACCATTTTCCGTTTTTTAAAATATCCATCTTTGCTAACGAAATTCTATGAAAATTGAAATAAAAAGAAGCCGAGATGGACTTTTGGAATGAGAGCGTCCTCGCTCAAAAGACAAGCAAAGTACCCCAAACTTTGGGGTAAATAGGTATATCACAAATGACTTCTATTTGATCCTATCTCAGATCCAAGTAAATATTCATCTGCCTCTTTCTGACCAGCAATCATTTGCAACTTGTTCCAATAAAATATTCATCTGCCTCTTTCCACTGCTACTTGTGACATCTTTCTAATTCTAAAGACCAACAATCAACTGCTACTTAATTCTAAAGACCAACAACGAACAGCTTATGACATAATGAGAGAGAGGCATAAAATCTGCAACTCACACTAATCCAACCATACTTAGATACCCAAATCACCAAAATCCTGACATCTTTCTAAATAATGAGAGAGAGGCAAAACACCTTTATAAAACCTGCAACTCACACTAATCCAACCATACTTATATACCCAACCATACTTAGATACCCAAATCGCCTTGATACCAATTACCAAAATCCAAATCAATTAGTTGTATTGAAATATGGTTCTAAAACAATACCAATTACCAAAATCGAAATCAATTAGTTATTGGAATATGGTTCTAAAACAGGGATTCATGGGGACTCATTCAAAAGCATACCCAAATCACTCTGATACCAATTAGCAAAATCCAAATCAATTAGTTGTATTGAAATATGGTTCTGAAACAAAAAATTTGGTATTCATGGGTACTCATCAAAAGCCCACTCATTGTCCTTCCTCACTGCATCCTCTTCTTCAGGAGAAAAATCATTTTCAATTCCAAATGTCTTCCGGACGTCTTCCACGCTCCAATCTTTGATGCGATCTGCGATCTCCAAGCAAGTTATATCAAGTAAATGCTTCACGTTAAGGTAATTTGCCGCCTGCAAAAACAATACTTATTAAGTTAATCAATATGGAAGAAATAGACACCCCCAGGATGCCGAGAGAGGTATCGTTTGTTCTGTGAAGTCAAGAGACTTCACAAAAACTTGGAAACATTCTGCTTCAAAAGAGACCGACAATAAGAAAACAACATGAAAAAAAAGAAATAAGAAAACAACATGGAAAACATGGAAAAAAGAAAACATGGAAAACATGTAAAAAATAAAAGAAGCTCATGAAGGCAAAATAACAATTCAAGAAATCCTCTTGAATTAAACTAAGAAAAAACAAAACTAAGTCAAAAAAAAATATTGTAACATATCAACTGCAAGCTGAGAATAGCATAAATTCACACTTAAATAAATTGATAGCACTTGAGACTTGAAAGAGCAACTTATGCATCTTTGTAATAAACTCCATTACCGACAAAATTCAGGAATTGTAGAACAAGGATGAATAGAAGTAGCTTGCAAGGGAGAAAGACATACATGTATGATAAATTTGACTCACCACAAACACCATGACAATCTCAAGCTAGCAAGACACAAGATTTACAGCATGAAGAGACAAGAATTACGACATGCATAACTTACAGATCTGATAAATTCAACTCAATGCATTTAGCATTCTTACCATGTCATGCACTCAAGCCAGAAGGACAAAAGACTCACAACATGCATTACACAAAGTATTACAAGTAGACTAACCAAAAGTAAATGCTTGTTCTAGATAATTATCCTAAAAGGCCAGGATTGAGAAATTTGTGATATGGCCCAATAGAAGAATATGGGATACCACTACAATGTCCTTAAAAGATTAATTTATCAAAAGATTAAAATATTTGTTTCACACCAAAATTTCCGTCCACCGAAAGAAAACCAGACCACCACAAGGAGCCAACTTTATTGCTTCTTTTTCCTCCTCTTTTCCTTTTTTCTTTTTTTTTTTTGAAAGTTTGAGTACCATATTTTGCTAGTCACCCATCAGGGCTCTCGAGTTTTCCTTTTTTGTCTTTTTCAATTTGATACATGAATACTAACCACTCAATGTGATATTTCAAAGATCAGAACAACAAAGTGCTACCATTAGTGCATTAGTACCTGCCTAAGTTGACAACAAGAAAGCTATGATGTATTAAATAATAATAATACAAAGTCCAGAAGGGAATTCATAGCTTTTATATATGGGAAAAGTTTATATAGAGCTGAGGCTCTAAACTATAAAATTAGAGCCTACCTCAAAACTTTCACTAGAAGAGGTTGTTTTGATGTCCAAAAATCCTCAAATTAATCATCTCGACATCAAGATGCATGGACATGAGAAAAAATGGATTTCAAGTTTTGGAGATAGTGTATTTTGTAACACATTTTGGACCGTCAATTTTTTAAG